TGAGCGCGTTGTACCAGGTGGCCGCGGACGACGGTCTGTGCAACAGCCCCTACAACATGCAGCGCCATCCCATGCGGACTAAGGCTTACGAGCAGAGGTGAAACCGTGGTGTGTTGGTTGTTGGGAGCTCGTCCGGCGCCTCTAGATTCCCTTCTCTTGTACATTGGTGTGTTTTTTTTCGTGGATGGTATAATAGACGAAGTAAATAAACTAGAAAGGCGCTACTTGGGTGGGTAAAGAAGCGTCTGTGTGAAACGGGTACGCCACCTGTGGGCAGTACTTTTAGTTAGAGAAAACAAAGGCGTCGAGGAAGGGCCAATACCGAAAGCACACTCCTGCCGCTGGGTACGTGTAACGTGTAGAGCTCACGCTGTGCGGGTGTTGTGGGCCGGCGGTGTATTGTCGCCCTCCACTACCAGGAGCTTATTGCAGTGAACGTGCGTTAATCCCTCTCCCGTGCGTGGCAAAAGACTGTTTACACAAGACACATTTGTAGAAGTAAAGGGCAGATTGACGTTTTCGTGAACGTTGAAAGCCTGGAATGGAGTGAGTTAAGTTAATGCTGGAGGTCTTGGTGGATAGATAGGGCGAACTTTCCGAGAAGGTGTCCGCAGGGTGCACGGGGCAAAACAGGCGTTTCACTAATTTTGGCATGAAAATCGGAGGGTAGTGCGGAGAGCACATCAAATATCAAATGAACAACGTACGGTACCCGTCAGGTTTGGGACGAGAACGCCTCTCTGAATCCTTGGAATGCCTTCGTGTGTGCCTCGAGCATGCGTGCTTTTGGCCACGTCCTCAGTGGTTGGGGTGAAGAAGTGCTGCGTTTCTCGTAGCAGGTTCCGGAGGTGTCGAGAAAAACAACGTCGGTCGGAGATGCATTCTCGTGATTGATTCGCCCGTTGCCGTCATTTCCTGTTGCTGGGTTGTGTTCATTCTTTGTCTTTTAACAACACAGAAACTTCCGTAGAATTATCTTTACCATTAACTTGCAATAACGGCATGGTACCCGGCTTTTTGTTGTTTGGGATACACATCACTGCTGCGCAGTCGGCTCTGTAGTCTGTGAATATGCCACCGTGTCCAAGATCACGGTTTCACGATGGGCTGCCCGTGTGTCGTAGCTCCGAACAGCCCGGCGGCTCGTAGCGCTGAGCTCGTTCGTGGAGACGCCCGTGTTAGGAACCAGTGGTTCAAATCGGCTATATCTACATTGTTGGGCCCAGGTCTCCGCATAAGGTTCACTACTGTAGGTTGAGAGGGCAACCACGCAACAGGATTCAGTTTGAGGCCGCGGTTACGGCAGTACCCCCGGGCTGTGCATCTAGTACGAGTTGCTCCTTACCGTTGATGATGCCTTTTTGGTAGCAAGCGACCCCCGGATCCTTGCTCAATGCAGCAACGATTGGCGGGGAAGGGCAAATGGAGGCTCACGTTTGTTACCAATCCAAGCATATTGTTGAGTAGACCCACCGTGTTGCTATACGCCAACTATATCTGACGCCGCAGCAGCTCTCGGGCCGAGTCAGTCTACGGGCATCACACACATTCGGCTCAACTGCTCCGCCACCTCGAGCACTTGATCCGCGACGGTTCTCTTCGCTGCAATTATGGCGGATTCGCTTTTGCCATGGTCGGCACAGACAGCATTTTCTTGAAAATGTCTGTTTGGTCCCTCCTCCTGCGTCAACGCGGCCAGATTCGCTCCGGGCGAGCCAGACACAAGCGGTGCCGTGAAGGTGCTCAACGTGGTGGGTACGGCGTTCTGTTTCACGGCGACCGCTGTCGCTTGCTCCTTAGGCTTACTTAGGCTCCCTGTCACATCCTCCTGGTCGTCGATATCTCCACCGACGAATCCCCCAGCTTCGTTTCCCACGCTGCCCTTTTCACAACCTTTTCCCTCTCCACCGGCAACATCATCATCTCCGGAGATACCGACCGAATCCTGGTGAAGATTATCGTCACGACAACGATTCGCAGCCGCCGTCGTCAGGTCCACATCCTGGCCATTCCCCGCATCCCGACCCACTACCGGGTCTCTCGCTGTCCCCTCCCGTCTCCGACACTTCCACGGAGAACGGGGGACGGCCGTCCCGATAGTCTCGCTCACGAAGTTGAGCAGCTTCACCGCGACCAGCCTCTCCGCTTTCGTCAATCCGTCGCCTGTTGTTCCCCGCTGGTCCTCTCCGCGGCGGTGCAAGCGGCGCGCCCCCCTGCGTGGTGGCGTTCGTTGCGACGCTGCTCCCCGGTCGAGGCGAGAATCTGAGAGGTCGTAAGCCAAGCAGTCCGACGAAGACTGCATCTCATCCGTGGTTCGTCGTCTCAAAGCCTTCTCCTTCGCGACGTGCCCTCTGTGGGGACTCGATCCGACTCCGTCCCTGCCCGTCCCGCTCTTGGGAGAGTAAGATTCGTTGAACCTATCCGTGCCTAAGCGAACTTGTTCGTTCTCTTCTTCACCCAGCTCGCGTCGACGTCGGGCAACAACTGGAGTGCCCCGACGGTACTCTTGTCGGGAGGTTGGTTGTTCCGTGCTGGTTGATACAGTCTCATCCACCGCCCTCCCCCGCCGTCCTCCCGGGCTGCCTGGTGAATCGCTTCCGGCAGTCATCTCCATCATCGCGGTGCTTATCGACCTAACAAGACTATGCGCACCGACCCGCTCGGCTTCTTCGTAGATTGACACTGGTCGCTTCGATCTGTTTCTTTGCGGCCTGGTTCGGCCGCGACGCTCCGGATGACGCCTTCGTGGTCGAGACGAAGTATTTTCGGGATACCGAACACCCCTTCCAGCGGTGGAACTGTGGCGTCGGTCTACTACGCTAACCCCGGTGTAAACGTCTTCGTCGGTGTCATGATCGCTGGGGTCACTACCGCTCAGCTTTCCATGGGTGCACCACCAACTCTTGTCGTCTCCTGCGGCAAGCGAACCGAGCTTATCGTCGCTGAAATGCGGACGAAACCCCTGTGGTGTGCCCTTAGCGTTGGCTTGCCCCCCGTTCGCCCAAGACGGTTTGCTTCGACTATTTCTAACGTGCTTGTTCCTCGCTCCCGGTTCGTCGGACGCACGTTTACTACTATTCTTACCGCAACGTGCTGCCTTCGCTCTCGCGGGAGATTCTCTCCCGCTGTTTCTACGTCGTGGCCTTCTCAGACACATGTGGTCGCTGACGCTGCTACGGCATGAGGATGGAGAGTGTGACAAGCTGGAAGTGTCGAGGGCAGTCGTGGGCTCAGAGGGTCTACGGTACTCTCGACGACCGTCGTGTCGTCTCCTTGAGCTGTATTCCTGAAGGAAGCGGACGTTTCACGGACAACAGATAGAGCCACGACAAGTGGGGAACAACGGCAGAACAGAGTGTTTCCGACGAAACGTGACAGCTTTATTGTTGGGCCGAGGGTATTGTGGATCAAGCCGTCCACATTCCTCGAGTTAGTGATGATTCTCGATGCTTCACTTAGAAACTCACGGAGAACGTACACTACTAGCATCAGAATCCGTTCCTTCTTCAGTATCCCTCGTCTCATGAGCTGTTTCTCGCATTTTCTACCCACTCCTGCGGCCTTTGCCATTCGAGTCGAGGAGCTCAGATCCGGGGTCGCACGAGCAATCTTCCGCAATACACGTGTCTGAATTTCTTGTTAGAGAAGAGTTCAGCAGTCCTTCTCTCAATACGAAAAAGCGCCTTCCATTACCAAGGCAGGTGCAAAATGCGCGGTAAACACACCTCGCCGGTCTTCAAACACACAGAATTACCGATAGCTTTCTTGAAGGTTACCACCTACCGGCAGATCAGGTGCGTGAAACTGCTGTTGTGAGATTCGTTATTGTTTTTTGTGATGACATGAGGTGACCGGCTACCCTGTTGATAGCAAATGCAGGTTACCGGACACATCGAACACACCTTGAGACAAGAGGTGTCGCTGCGGTATTTCGCGAGGTGATTCTCCAGCCACGTCGCTAGACGCTCGCTGTGCTTTAAGCTCTCCTTTTTCACCGGTACAGGACGACATGCAAAGGTTAAGAAACGGACGACCCGAGTAAGGTGAAACAGGCTTCGACAACAAGCATGACGCTCTGAAGCCTGGTTGTAGACCGGGATGTCAACGAAGATGGCGCTTTCAAAAGGTTGCTTCCCACTAAGGTTTCCGGTGTCTGGGAGTACCTCTCCATCTCAATCACAGAGCCGTCTTTTCTTTTGCGGTGGGGTGGAGGGTGGGTAGTATTGATCGAGTGGGTTCGAGGTACAACGATGAGGGGTACATACGTTGCTTGACAAGACGTTTCTGACGAAGCAAACATTGCACCTTCAGTCTCCGGACGACACTCGTTTCGAGATCTCGCTCCCGGCTGTCTCGGTGGGCATCGTGTAGCTTGTCGACGTTGTCTTCGCTGCTTCTGGGAATATTTCTGCTGTTGTGTGCGTCGGAGGCGTCAACGAGTAGCCTTCGCGGTCCGCTGATTCTGCCGAACCTCCTCGAAGAAGACTCGCTTGTTCCCACGGTGAGGTGCGGTTTCTGAGATGATGTCGTCACACGCATGGCATTCCCGAGTGTAAGGTTCGACCGTGGACTGGATTGGCATGCAACCTACGAGAGAGATTGGCTGTATGGCTTTCGTGTTCCAGCAGGAACTACTGTACCGTCTTTTTTGATATTCCATGGCTGACAACATTCGAACCCTGTGATACTTGTTTATTGGTGTGTAGGGGAGTTACCAACCAAATCTATCAAGAACAAGGCAGAGCGCGTTCCAATCACAAGCACATATCCGACGTACAGGCAGAGTATGGCAATTGGCACAACTGGAGACAGAGATGCAGTTGGTTGAGAACGGAATCACACGCGTTGCCAATCTCACCTCTCCCATGTTATCCCTGGCGTCAGGGTTCGCCCCGGCATCGATGAGCACTCGCCTAACCTCATCGCTCGTAGTGTAGTGTAGGGGGGTCCTTGAGCCAGCGCAAACGAACGAACGAACGTGAATTTGAGGCGGAAAATAATTGCTACTCTCGTGACGCACATCTAGGAGCGTCGAAGCTATGGTTAGATGACGAGAGATGAGAGGTTGAAGGATGATCAAAATGACGGCAGTGTGACAAGAGGGAATCGTCCTCGATAGACGTTGGGGAGATTGTTCCCTTTACTTGTACCCTTTATCACTAAGATCTCAACATCACCCCCCCCCCCTCCCCCCCCCTTTTCTAATAGTGCAGTATTTGCGACACGATCGATCGTGTTGCCATGCGACGGCCGGTTTGACGAGTCACAAAGTGGTCGGTTTGACTAGTCACAAAGTGGTGTTGAATACGCTGTGTGGTAGGTCACCTCGCTCGCCTGTCTTCAGCGTTGACATTCGCTCCGTGCTTCACCAGAAGCGAGACAACACTCGCACAGCCCGCCCGAGAGGCCTCGTGCAACGGAGTTTTCCCTCGGTGCCCCGGTATGTTCGCTGTTTTGGGTCCATTGGCACGACTTAGTGTAACCAAAAGGTACATTGAGGGTTAATGGCACAAAAATCTGTCGTTCGTCGGGGGCGACCGTGCGCTGTCGTTTGGGCACATGCATATAGCAAGTGTGGAACATTTGCCCTGGGAACGCGGGTCATACGTACTTTGAATCGACTACAACATCTCGCTGCCGACCCTCACCCCTGAAGTTACTTGTGTAGCGTCGATTCTTCATCCTGCCCACGCGGTACAAGCTCGTGGTTATCTCAGTCTTAAATCGGACAACGTTTACACACGATTTACTTGGTGTGTGTAGTGCACCAGCATAGTAGTCTATGCCTGAAGTACTGCAATACGCCCCCCAAGCACACGTACGTTGTATCTAAAGACTATATAATACGAACGCACAACCAACGGCGGCGTTCGCTCACGTGCTCACCATCAGCGCCTGCCTGGAGAAGGGTCTCAGCGACCGTAACACGTCCTCCACGCGAAGCACGGTGCTGCCGCAGACGAGGAAGCAACGCGGGCGTGAGAAAAATAACGATGGGGCGCGACGGCCCCCAAGAGAAAAGCTGTCAATATATACTGACAAGATCTTTCTCCGCTCCGTACGTGTGTGTATTTTCTTTCGGTGAATCTTATGGAGCTAGACTATCGTACGTAGAGAGCGGTACGTTTACACCGCAAACATCTCTGCAACACGACTCAATTCTCCCGAGCTACCATACTTTTGCAGGAGCCAAAGATGATGCTCCTTGGCCACAAAAGATATCCGTCGATGCAACCTACGGCGGCACAGCGATCTGTGAAACGGTCATGTCTGATGGCCAACAAGATTACGCACCAACAGCGACATGAGCCTCTCCCGGAGCACTATGATGAATGGCGAGCAAACGTCCAATCATTCATCTCATGCCTTCGCCTAGATGCATGTGCTCCTATCCATATACACCTCATTTGTATCGAGAGAGAGCCAAGCACCAAAAGATCCAAAAATTCCAGTGAACCAGGGGGGGACACACGGTTGGGGGGTTGAACGGGGGGATTGTCAATAGGGGCTCCGTCGTATCATTTTTCAAAATTTAAATCAAATCCTGTTCCTGCACCACAGCCTGCCTTGTCGCAGCGGCGGTGGGCGGCGCGGTCAAACCCATGGCTCGTCGACCGCACCCGACCCTGGCAGTCACCGACAGCGAGCGCACCCTCATTCTCCAGCGGCGCAACAGCGGCGGAAAGCCCAGCAGAGCCAAGCGACGCGTATCCTCCTACTTCGCCGCCGAGGAAGCCAGCGATACATCCGCGGAGTCCCTCGCCTCCTGCTCCCGACGCGACGGCCGTACAGGTACTACGGCATGTATCAGCACCGCCGATAAGACCAAGGATATCTCTAGCCTAGCTGGCGGTGGTGGCTCGTCGAGGACGGGAGGACGCTGGATTCTCGAAGGGATTCGGCACAGCCGACAAGGGCAAGTGCTTCAACCGGCGAAGGATGGGAATGACAGCATCATCAGCCCTGCCGGTCCTGCTGCCGCTGTGTTCTACGGCAGCGTTCGGTTCCCGGCCAGCCGCGTGGCGCTGTGGTGAGATAGGGCATTGCTGCTACGGTGTAGCTCGACTGCATCATTCCATAAGTTGATACGGATAACGGAGAAGATCTACACGCACGCCGTTGTATTGCTGCACGTTGCGGGTTGCGGGGGATTCGGAGAATACAAAGCCTCCAAACACCCACGGCTGTACAAAGACTATAGTCTACAGCAGTACTCTTGTCACTGCTGTCCCAAGACTACTGCTGTACATCGCCTGCCTTCTGCTGTCCCAAGACTACTGCTGTACACCGCCTGCCTTCTGCTGTCCCAAGACTACTACTGTACACCGCCTGCCTTCCGAGCCTAGATTGTTGTATACCTGCAATAGGGGATGTCGCTATATGTTATCCGAGGGTTAATACGTTGTAGGTCACATGGGCTAACTTCGAAATTCTGTACCATTGAATAGTCTCAAGTACACTCATACGTATCCGGAAACCGATTCGTATTTAGATTTAGACTCCTGCTGTAGTTGAACTACGGCAGTAGGTCATATCTCGAATGGGTAGTCTTTCTGTGTTTGTATTTATGTTCCTAGTAGTATCATAGTTTGGTTTCAGTTCGTGAAGAGAATCTACTCTGTGCTCCAGCAGTCCTTCTCTTGTGGCCATGTCTACTACAGCACTCCAGCGTAGAAATGTTCTCTCTCTGACAAGAACAAACATCTTGATAGCCGCGCAGCGCTGCAAACTCCTCCAGGATGATTGGTCTCCGTGTAAACGTTCGTTGTGTGTTGAACAAGAACATTCGTTGGGTAGTGAACAAGAATATTCGTTGTGTGTTGAACAAGGTTATCATACCGTTTCCAAGCTATATCGCATGCGAACGGTAGGTGCGTTTATTCCCGGTTGCGTGCAGACTATCGGCACACACGTATGGCAAAGGTTGTTTGTTCGCTGTTGATCTGCCCAGTCCCTTCTCGTACGAGAACGTGGCACGTGTCTGCCTCTCTCCCCTAGGCTCTTCGCCAGACGCTTTGGGGTTTGCTCAACTCTCGCCGTGCTGCTGGCGCTACGGCTACCGTTGTATCGCCGCGCTGCTCGCAGGAATCGCCGGCCCACCGGGAGCCCATTAACCCTCACTCCGGAATCAGCCGCGCCCATCCTTGTTCTGCGGCAGCGAGCCGCGGATCTCATCGCCTCTGAGTTACTCAGTCTTGCCGCGGAGGGAGAAAGGTGCGTTGTACCCTTCATAGCCCCCTTGCGAAACGACTGCAGCCAACCACACGAAACGAAAGATCCCCGTTTCGGCGTACTGTTTCCCAACTCAAGATCCGAGCAACGTCCATTTCCTGCGAGTCGAACACTCCCCGGCCTTGAGGCTTTTGCCACGGTGGTCCCGTATTTCCCTCATTCCGCCGTGTCCTGCGGGTTTTCGACGGGTTGGGTGCAGCATGTAGTTTCCCCTCATGGCTGTTGGGCCCTTCGGACTCTCTCAACACCTCCGACTCCCAAGATGGCGGACAAGTTTCGCGTCGCCTCTAGGACGCCCCACCACATTCCCAAAGCAGACCTAACAGATCCCTCCCTTTCCTCCCCCCCACCAGCGGTGGCGACCCCTGTCTCAGGTGGCACGGGGTGCTCGGGTCGACCGGCGACATCCTACAGGGCTCCTCCCTCGCATCTGACCCTCGGTTGCTAGCAGCCTCATCATCCTCCTCGTCGAATGCACCCTTTTCCTGCTTGGCGCTCGAGATCGCTGGCATGAAGGCAGGAGAAGCAGCGGCGGCGGCGGCGGCGGCGGCGGCGCAGAAGCGTGACGGCGATACCGGAGAGTTGCGGCCGTCAGCACGAAGGCGACGGGCAGCACCGCCGCGCGGCCGCCGCTGCGTGGTGGCGTTGAGCGGTGCTGCTGCCTCGGGGGGGGGAGAGGGAAGAGGCGGGCGAGGATCGACGGAGGGGAACGACGACGACGAAGTGTACTACAGGTGAGGAGGAGGCCTTGGTTGGTCGTGGTTGGGGGGGGGTCGGTCCAGTGGGTCGGCTGGGCGGTGTTTTTTTTTTTTTTTTTGTGGATGCTACCGTGGTGTAGTAGTTCCAGCATATGGCAGCAGAGGCGTTCGGGTTGTGCATGTTTTGTCTTGTTGCCGTCGTCGCTGTTGGTTGCTGTTCGATTGCTCGCACACGGTGCCGATATTCCCGTTACTTTTTTCGTGTAGTGTTGTGGGTTCGTTGTTTAACCGTGTACTCCTTCCCACGACCCCGCTAGCCCTACTAACCTCGCCGGCCGCCGCCCTCATCTTGCCGCAGCTCGCTCTTGGACGACTGCATCAATAGGGTCGGGGCAGCGAAGTCCGCAGACCCCCCGACCTTCACGCCGCTGCGCCTCCAGTGCTCCCTGAAAGGGCGCCGCGGCGGTGCAACCGACAGCCGCGGCAGCGGCGGCTGTGACAACGGCGTGGATGGTGAAACAAGCCCGTCCGCGCGGAAGCAGCACCGACAAGCAGGCTCGGCAAACGGCGGGTCTGGGGCGGGACAACCGGCGCCCCTGCAGGGAGCGGCTACGCTGTCTCTGCGCGCGGAGATGATCGCGCCCGCGCTCGGGGTGCGCCTGACCCCCATCGCCGCGCCGGCTTTGCTACACACCGCGCTGTACCAGAGCTTGCTGAGCCGGGGCGCCGAGGACAAGCTGCAGAGCGGGTGGGTTGCAGGGCTCGCGCCCGGGATGGTTATACGGAGGGCTTGTATTTTCGGGGTATTTTCGTACTTCCGGCATTGCGCGAACTGCTGTAGCGGACGTGAGGACAGTTGGGAGTGTTTTCGGTCTCGTTTTTGTGATCGCTTCAGAGATTTCACGTTCTCACCTGCGTGTGATCTCCCTTCTCAACACGTGGCAAACTTTTTCGTGGGCACTTTTGTTTTCGAATTTTTTTCGCCTCCTTATGTAGCACGAGGTGTAAGTTTGCACACGAGTGCTGTCATTGGCAGCACCGACCACTCGGAGCGCCTGCCCAACCTGGAGGAGGACTTCATCAGTCTTAGATACATACCATACTTTGGATTGTGCGCATGCGTCACCGTTTTCCGAACCATCACCCCGCATCCCTTCCTACACCGAGGAGCGACCAACGCCTTCTGCGCTGTCCGCCGTCCCTCCGTTCTTTTGCCCCCACGCTACTGTACAGGCTTGTCACTCTCAACGAGGGCCGCCGTGCGGTGCTGCTGTCGGACAACGACCCGCTCTCCCTCCGGGCCCCTATCGTGGGAGTTTGGGTCTCCGGGGGCGACAGCGGCGGTACCGGTGGCGTAGGCACGCCAAGCGGGCAGCAACAGCAGTCTGGCCGGCGACTGTCCCCACTCACCCATCCCTACGTCTACCCCGCATGCCTTCGGTTCCTGCTTGGGTTCCGAGGGGGGAGCGGGGCGTCTAAGTCGACCACCGCCGCCGCCGCCGCTGCCGCCGCTAGCCCCGTAGCCTTCCTGGTTCTGCAACTCCCCGGGGGTGTCGGCGGGGGCACGCCGGGGTGCTACGAAGCGTGCGCGGTCAGCGCGTCGGCGGCGACGCCGACTGCAGCAGGAGGGGGGGGTATGCGTGTCGCTTCCGTCGGGTTCGAGCAGCTCGATTTCTCTGCGGATGTGGATGTTTCGGTGGGGGGCGGGGGGCGGGAGGGGGGAGCGACGGGGGGCGGCGCCAGCAGCGCCAACCGCGCGGTCGTGATAGCGAGGTTGCGTCGCGTGTCAAGCCTGACGGCGGCGGGAGGGGCGTTCGGACGCGCGCTCGCGAGGGCGAGGGGAAGGTGCGGAGAGATTTTTTTTTCTCACCAGTGACATTGACAGCAGGCCGTATTTGTTCTAAATAGCGCTGTTTTTCTCCGTGGTTTTCTGCACAGGTGGTGTGTGCCAACGGCAGGTTATTACCGCATCTGTGGTGCGGGGGGTCACACGCCTCGCGGTAGACGGTATGCGCGCAGCGCATAATGCGGGGGTTGACGAACAGCGTTCCGGACAGGTTTTTGTGCCACGTTTCCCTACCGATACTCCGAATACGTTCGCTCAATGCATAAGGTTGTGGTCATTGATTTGTGTCCGGCGTATATACCTGCACTCGCGTTCCTCTCTGCCCGTCTCTATCAGGTACCGGGGCACGCAGCAGGCCGAGAACGGCGCAGCCACGCCCCCGTTCCTCCCCTCGCCATCCGCGACGCGAACGCCCCCTCAACCGTCGCCGCAGCAACGGCCGCCACCGCCGCGTTCGATCGGCGCCACCCAAAGGTGGCACAGCAGACATCACAGCCAACCGACGCCCGAAGACCGAGAGAACGAGGGACCGACGGAGGTGCAACAGGACAGACCGCTGCTCCACCCCCCCGTACCGATAGCGGCGCCCACGAAGGTGGGTCATCGTGTCGGAGGGTGTACCGATGGTGTACTTTCGACTCGCGTAGGTTAGTCTGTTCGACGTTGCGAAGCTAAAATGCGTACCTCGTTCGGGCTGTCATGTTCTGTTGGCTGTCATACTAAATGACAATGTTTTTTTGAGCACGTGGATTGGTTATTTTATATGTTGTTGTTGTTGTTGTTGTTGGTGGTGGTGGTGGTGTTGTTGTGGCACGCTGCCGGGTTGTAGCGCTCTCCCTCAGGAGACAGACCCGCCCGGGCTCTGATTGCACCGCACCGAAGTCAGCAACGCGACCGTTACTCCCCACCCCCTGTCGCCCACTCTCCCTCCGGCAGCCTGTTGTCCACAGCCCGCGCTCCGCGGCGAGCAAGGCTGACTCGTCTCCCGCCAGAGCCACCGGCCGCACGAGCGCAATCAACACCCCGGAGAAAATCCTTTCCCACGCAATACACCACTCCACGTCGCCAGCCAAGCGCGGTTTGAGAGGAGGCAGTGGCCCTCGCGCATCAGTGCTGGGGGGTGCCGGGGAGGGGACTACACGGCCGGGGGATGGCCACGGTCGTCCAAGACCGCCGTGGCGGTCCCAGGAGGAGGGGTTCCGCGAGTTGTCCTCCGGGGGGGGGGGTAGCAGTCACCGAATGGCGGCCGTGGAAGGACGAGAGGCTTCGAGCTCCTCCCCTCCGTCGTTGCCCGAGAAGGGGGAAGAGTTGCCTTCGCCATCGCCGGCCCCGGTGGCGGCGGCGGCGGTGGCGGCGGCGGCACCGGCTTGGACACCACGGAATAGTCTTGACCTGCTCGCGCTGGCACCGGAGGCGAGGGAGTATTTCCTCTCGCAGCAGCGGCAGCTCTCGTCCTTGGCGGAACAGCTCCACCGGCTGCAGGTCACGATGAGAGATCAGCAGCAGGATCACCAGCCGATGCATCAGCAGCAGCAGCAGCAGCAGCAGCAACAATCGCGGCTCATGTCCGTGCCGACGCCCTCCGCCGCCGCCGGTCCGGTGTCGACCGGCGGCGCGGCGAAGGCGACCGGGGACACTGCATGGGCACAGCAAGCAATGCCGCCGCCATCGGAGGCCCCGTATAATCGAGCAAAGTCCATGGTAGAGGCTAGCACGAACACGAGCTTGTTCTGGGGGGCGCCGCTCATGCCGCAGGCCGCGGCTGCCGCCGCTGGTGGTTCGCCGACACGGCCCGGTACGGTCGTGTTAGCGACTAAGGCGGCGTTCGATACACCCGAGGGTGAACGATGCCATCACGCCAGCAAAGGAGGAGGAGGGGGAGAAGGAGGAGGAGGGGGAGGGGGAGAGGCGGAAGAGAACGCCGTTGCCCCGTTGCCGTCGAGTCGGCGGAGCGAAACCCCGACCCCTCCGTCCGCCGCTCATGCTGGCGCCGCCGTGCGGCACGGGTGGACGACTCAGCGGGGCCGGCGCCGCCGCCGCCGCGCGGGAGCGGGCGAACGGCAGCGGCACCGAAACGGCGGCAACGCGGGAGGGGAAAGAGACAGCAGCGGCGACGATGATGCGAGCGACGGCGGCGCCTCCACCGCTTGGTCGCGCAACAGTTCCGATGTCGACGAAGGCGAAACGACGACGTCTCTGGAGCTGCTTCCTCTTCGTGTGCCACCGCCAGCAGGTCTTGGCTCCGGATCGGGCGCAAGCGCCGCGCGGCTGAACAGTAGCGTTTCGTCAGCAGGCTCCGCTCACCGGATAGACGATAACGCTTCAAAAGACGACAAGGCATCGGGCACCACTGGGGAAGAGGAGGGCCGGGAGGGGCAGCAAGCCGTTGTTATTGTTACCCCAGAGCGGAACGGTTCTTGCGATGGTGGGCGGGGGCGGCAACCCTTGCTGGGGAGGCGCGGAGGAGAAAGGGGCGGGGCCTGGGGGGTACCGATTGTCCCGGTCGCGGACTTGATGGTGGTGCCTCGGATCGAGTTCGGCCAGATGACGGACGATGAGATGGGTTCGGATCTGGACGAGGGCGAGGTGTGTCTTGTTGTCGGTGGTGGCGGTGGCGGTGATGGTGTTGTTGTTGTTGATGTTCTTGTTGATTGCTCTTGTCGCTGTTGTTAGTGATGCTGTTTTTGTTGCTGATGGTGCTTTTGCTGTTGGTGGTCTGATGTTGTTGACGAGCGCTTCACACTTCTTCTACGACAGACACCGCACTATTTGCAAGTGTATGACACACCTGCCCTACATCACAATAAACTCAATCTAGGCCTGGCCCTCTCTCAGTGTTCCGGTCCTGGTGCTTTTCCGACGGCTTTCGCCTCGGTACTGTTGTACGCGTGCTTGTTCCAAACCCTGCAGACCATCGGCCGGATCGAGTCCAAGTATCTGCAGGGCGGCGGCAGCGTGGCTCCATTTCTTCGCTGCTAAGGCTCTAATTTACCCCGTGCCCCGCGTGGCATCCAGCGGCACAGTGATGTTTTCGTTTTGGTTCCATTAGGTGGCAGCCCAGCAGCCTGGCCTTGAGGCCATCCACGATGATGAGCTCGGCGTTTGCAACGCTTCGTCGGGGACCGGTGGCGTCGTTGGCGGCAGTGTTTCACTATTTTTTTGGTGCCTGCCAAATTTATCACTCTGGTCTCGAAGAGGACGGCAATTTGCCGCTATTATATTATTTGTTCAAAGAAATGTTGTATGGGGGGAGGGTGGCAGAGGAAGCGGTGTGGTTGCTCCAAAGACGAGAACGGTATGCAGACAAAGAGAGGGTAGATCGATCCCACGTAAAATAGCATCTTTGGTGGTGGTGGTGGTGATGAACGGCTGTTATGCAGCGATTGAATAAATAAGCGAAAGAAGTGGGCCGATTTTTTTTTGCGCTATGTTGTATCGGTTTAGCCTCATGAGACACAAGCAACGCACAATTGTGTCTTGACGTACATGCGGCAAAGGTGTGCGAGGGACTCACTGTCATTTCTTGGAATCCCATCCCACCTATTCTGGCGCGTGTCTGTATCTTCCGACGGTAACCTTTTAGTGCGTTTTGGCGCGTGTGCGTGGAATGTAGAACAAGGCGGAGGGTTGGACCGCCCTTGACACTTGGCACGTTGCGAGGTTAACGTCGTATCGTACGACTTTTCGCTCCTCTCGCCTCCGTGCAAAGGTTGTGCGTGAGCGAGCTACACGTTTGAGCATGAGGCGGTCGATAGGACGGGTTGCTCGCCAATAGGGGGCCACGTGCCCAACGTCGAGCCAAGCCTTTGCGAAACGAAAACGTCCGCTACCTGCGGTTCCTCGGCCCCGCCGCCCAAAAAATGAAAAATGGGGACGACGCCCATCGGCGATACAACCGGTCCATACCGTGCACGGGATACGGGTCGCTCAAATTGCCAAGGCTGACTGTACCATCGACCACGACGAGTTAATCGATGTTGTCGTTGTCTTCACATGTGAAAACGTTCCGATCTCAGCCAATTTGCGTTCCAACATCCGTTTTTGCTGGTTCGAACGACGCGAGCGCCTTCCGTGGTCACAACATAACTACCCCACGAGGGTACCAACTACTTGCGGAGCATCAAAGAGAAAATCTAATGACTCAGCAAAATCAACAAAAACGCGGTACTCCGACTACTACAAGGCATAGAATAACACCAGTACTGTAACACCAGATTAAGGCCGTACAAAGCGTAGTTCCGCCTCTCTGTCTACCCCCGTCGCAGACACTTAACTTCGCAGTCTAGACCACACTCAAACACACAAAATCGCGAACAGCAGCATCAAGGAACCCACGTACGTGCGCCCTTTCCACACACAACAAAACTGATCTCAACATGGCCATTGCTGGGGAGCAGCTCTGTAAGTCACTCACCCGACGGGTCGCTTGGTACGTTTCCTCGACTTCTTTTTCTCGCCGCTAGTCTTACCGCTACCGGCAACAGCAACGCCGCCACCCGCCCCCCCCGCGCCGAATCTCCCCGCATACCACCGGGTGCCGTATTCCACCGCAAACACGAGCGCCGTGTCGGCCGCGAGGACCGCGAGGAGCGGTCCCCGGAACCCTCCCGGGAACGGCGCTAGCTGCAGCCACGACTCCAGGGAAGGGGCCAAGCCGGACGCGGCCACGAGGAGGGTCGCGTAGCAGGCCAGGACCAGGTAGCACATCGCCCGGTTCTCCCCGAGGGATTGCATGAAAGGGTGCCCGGTGTAGTTCGCGGCGAAGGTGTTCACCTGTGTGTTCCATGTTTCATGTTTCACGGCCGGCAGGGGGGGGGGGGGTACCCATAGTCGTGCATGCCGTAGTCGTTTGACCATTGACCTCGCATCCCTACAAAGCCGGGACGGAGCACGCCGGGTTCTCACCGGACCAGGCTCTCACATCACCAAGCGCGAAGCGCCGTGAGGTATTTGGCGAGTCGCATGAAGGGTGAGCTGCATCCTGCTAAGGGTGTTCGGCAACTTGTGCTTACTTCCTTGCGTACGGATGACAGCTACGTATGACTTAATTTATTTTCTGGTGCTTTCACTTCCAGAGACAGTTGTAAGCACTGTGTAACTGCCTCGAGGAAGCTTGACCATTTTAACACAACGTGATGCGATCATCCCCCGTTGCGCGGAGTGAGGGTTCTCGACCCCGCACAACATGATCTACTTGACCACCATTATGGTTACCGCCAAAAATAAAAACGAGGTAAAAAAAAAAACGGTAACCTGGTTGCCGAGTTCACGAAGTGAATTGGCTTGTTTTACAACGTCGTTGCCAAGCGACGAAAACCCAATCCCGATGGCAAACACCGAGTGGGGGGCTTGTTTTACAACGTCGTTGCCAAGCGACGAAAACCCAAACCCCGATGGCAAACACCGGGGGGGGGCGGCTTGTTTTACAACGTCGTTGCCAAGCGACGAAAACCCAAACCCCGATGGCAAACAAGGCCGAGGGGGGGTGGGGGGGGGGGGGCAGAGTGGGGTGATGTGTCTGCCAGGAATTGGATAGGTTAGGTACGGTCACCTGTGTTTTTTATGTTTTACACAACGCCGGCGGACAGGAGCGGCAGAGGGTGGGGTGATGTTTTCGCCAGGATTTGGTTAGGTTCTAGGGCAATAACCCAGTACTCCCGACGGCTGAGCAAATAGCCGACTTCAGCACGTAATACTTGCTGCCACATTGTTCAAGTCGGAACCGAGGCCGCGCACCATGTTGTGAGAAACGGTCGCTCACCCTGCATACGTGCAACACCTAGAGACCCTTCTCTAGCCTTATTGGTGAACAAATGCTGCTGTTGTACCTGGGGATCTGGAGTGAGACATATGTTATGGCAAGCCCACAGCAGACGTGGGGATTACTTCTACGAAACGTTCCACAAAATAAAAAAGCTCGAACATGCCGCCTGTTTGTGCCGTCGCCAGCAAGCAGACCTTAAGCGTTCCAACCCCCTGCCTAAAGTGGTTCGCCGTGCGCATGTGCAATACGGTACACTGGATTATCCTTAACATGTGCAGCCATGCCCGATGGTCAAACAGTCACAATTACCTGCATGACCGCGGACAGCAGAAACACGGCCGAATTGAAGGTGTTGGCCCGGAATGGCCCGTCCGGCATCACAGACGGGTCCTCCGGGTTGACATGGTCCTCGCACAGCCGCGTCACCGCCAGAAGCGACACCAGGTGGGCGGCGAACTGCCCCAGCACGGATAGGCAGGCCGGGAGGCACAAGATTCGCGCCGGCGGCCGGGCCGTCGACAGGCGGCGCAGGGGGTGCGAGCGGCTGGCGAAGTAGAAGAGGGCGGAGACGGCCAGGCCGAGGGCGGTCATCTGGCCGTCCCCCTGCTTGACCCCCTTGAGGTAGAGCGCCGACAGCATGTAGGCCGACGTCAGGCAGTTCAGTGCCAAAATCTGAGTCGGGCGGGGGCGGGGGGGGGGGGGGGGGGGGGG